AAATGTTTGTATTTAATTTAATTAATTTGGTTTATTTGATTATTTTATTTTGTTAATTAAATATTAAAAACCCAAAAATATTAATTATTAATTATTTTAAATAATTTTATTTAATATCGATTAATTAAGTTATTAAATAATCTTATTAAATATTTGTATTTAATTTGATTAATAATTTTCCTTTTGCTTGATTTTTTTATGTAATACCTGATTTTGTTTTATGCTTATACATTTGCTCCTATGTTTATTACTTGTGCCTTGATGCTTTTAATTTCATTTCTCATATGCATGTTTAAACCCCTTTTTCAAACTAATATCTTGATTTAATATAACTCATTTTCAAATACCTTGTAAGTCGATTGTTTTCATGAACGTCATCAACCTCTCATAGCCTCCTCTTGGGTTTTCATACAATGATGCTTGATTTGCATTTCATATCTTATTGGCATGCATGTGTGTGATTTATTTATTTTTCTATGGCTTGGTATAATCCCATTTGAGAAAATGTATCCCCATTCCCATAATGTGTAATGTTTGTTATCACTTTCTCTTTATTTGCCTCCGCTTAGGTAGTCCTAATGCAAGAATAAAATCAACATTTTTCAAAATAACAAATAAGCTTGATCCAACGTCAAGCATTTTCAAAACAAGTTCAATAGGATTATTCACTAACCTTTAACCTATTTTCAAGCACACTTGATCCACATATCAAGTCCCATTACCTTTTATAAGTTGATTGCCTTGTACATCATCGTCAACCTTACCCAATACCCATTAGAACCTCCTTTTCATTAGTCCAAACTTTTACACCGTTTTTAACGCAAATTTAAATCTCGATCAACATCGAGCATTTTATCTAAGTCAAATTAATCAACTTAACAATACTTAGACCTTATTCCATTAAACGATGAAAAGGGAATTAGTCTCGAGCCTTCGATTCTTCTCCTTAATTTTTGGGGTACTAGGAGCCTTCCTTACTATTCAAATAATTATCTTGTCTAAAATACTTTTAATCCGATTCAAACTCAAATCATTTTTAGAATTACTTAAACGAAAAGGAAGAGTCTAGAGCCTTCTATTTGCTTTCTCGTATGCTTAAATACAAGGAGCACTTCGATTCTTTAAAATACTAAATCTTTACTTGAACATTATTTCTTTAAAGGTGAAAAGGGAGTTAGTCTCGAGCCTTCGATTCTTCTCCTTGATTATTTGGATACTAGGAGCCTTCCTTACTATTCGAATAATTGTCATCCCTAAAATGAACCAACAACCCGTAGTAACACGAACTAAGGACGCTTTGATTCTTCATTTTTTTCAAATGAAGATATGTAGGAACAAAGACCCCAATCCTTGGCGTGTACCCTAATAAAAAACCACTCATTTTCCCCTTAGAAAACAAAAATCCTTTCTCTTACTTTTCACATTATTTTCTTAGAAGAAAACAAATGACATTAGCTAACATTTGATCATAAATCAGACTAAGAGGCTCCTGTTGAGTACAACAGACGTGAGGGGTGCTAATACCTTCTCTTTGTGTAATCAACTCCCGAACCCGAATTTGGTTGCGATGACCATTTTCCTTTCCTAAAGGTTTTATCGATATTTTCCTATTTCTTCATTGGGGTAAATAAAGTTTGGTGATGACTCTGTTCGAACTAAATTTTTCCGCATCCATCACGAAGGATTGTATTTTTCGAGGTACGATAGACTGCCAACTCTGTTGGGGACCCACATTGCCATATGCAAGAGAAAGTCAAGCCTAACTTGGTTCGATTTGTGTGAATGTTAGCTTCGCTTGTTTATTTTCTTCTTATTTATTTTTTCTTATTGCTTGTTTGTTTGATTATTATCTACTTGCTTGCATATCTTTATATATTCTATTATTGTTTCTTGTGACACTGTTGGGGTTCTCTGATTATTGGTGCTCTTTTAGATAGACTCCCTACCTGAGTCTGAGAAAAACATAGGATTTAGGATGGTGGTTGTATAGTAGAGGTCCGCGAGGAGCCTTTCTCATTGGGGCAATACGAAGACCCCGCTTAGAGTAGATCCTCTTGGAGATGTTATGGTCTGACGAGCCTTCGTCAAGGCGATAACATTTTCAAGTTGGATCGATGACTCTAAGGACCTTTTAACATATTCCATGGTGGTTGTGTAGTGTTAACTCATGATGAGCCTTTCTTGTTGGGTTGATTTGAAAACTCCAATCAGATGAGATCCTTTAAACGTATCATTATCTTGACAATGATATTTTCAACCTCGATCTATGACTCTAAGATACCTTTTTAGAAACCTTGGACTCGATGGTTTTGTAGTTGAGACTCACGAGGAGCCTTCCTTGTTTGGACAATATGAAAACCTTGTCTTATGAGCCTTCGTCATGGCAATGATATCTTTAAGAAGGATCCATGACTCTAGGAACCTACCTCTTTTAGAGCCTACCCATGGGGTTTTGATGATCAGAGATACTTGTTGTCATGCTTCAACTTCATAATAGGTTATACCTTTGGCCTTAAAACCATGCACATGCATTTCATGCTCATATCATAACATTCACAATTTTGGTTTCCAGGGAATCTAAGAATTACGTCACAGAAATTCAGAAATCATGGGATCAAACACTAAAAGTACCTACTCATACAGTTTCAAGAAGCTCAAGTTAGATGGTTTATGTGACCTGGTTTCTCGTATACCTGCTACGTTCAGAATCAACTTTGGAAGAGACTATGGCAAGCTAATCTATATTCTGAATCAAGAAGTAGACCACCGAGCGCTCGTTACTTTGGCTCAATCCTATGACTCACGATTGAGATGTTTTACATTTCAAGACTTTCAGATGTCGTCAACCTTGGAAGAATTTGAGTGTTTGGTTGGAATTCCTATGAAGAGTAAGTTGTTGTTTATGAGGGTAGATGTCTCTTTGAAAGATGAAGTTATAGCCAGTGCTCTCCACATGCACAAGAAGGATGTTAATGCTAATTGGAAGATCAAAGAAGGTCTCAATGGGTTCCTGCTTAAGTTTCTTATAGAGAGGGTAGATGTCTCTTTGAAAGATGAAGTTATAGCCAGTGCTCTCCACATGCACAAGAAGGATGTTAATGCTAATTGGAAGACCAAAGAAGGTCTCAATGGGTTCCTGGTTAAGTTTCTTATAGAGAGGGTAGATACTCTTATAGAAGCTCAGAGTTGGGATGCTTTCTTTGCTATTGTTGCCTTGGCTATTCATGGAATTATCTTATTTCCTAATATGGACGATTTCATGGATATGACTACTATCCACATATTCTTGACAAGGAACCCTGTACCAACCTTGTTGGCAGATACTTTCTACTATATGAGCTGGAGGAATGAGAATAAGGGAGGATCAGTTGCTTATTGTGCACCTCTCTTACACCAATGGTTGAAGATGCACTTGCCAACGAAGGGGTCGTTTATGGACCGAGTTGATGATAGTTGGGCTCAAAGGATGAGGTCCTTCCGATCTGATTATTTCTCTTGGTATTCCCAAGATTATAATGGAGTTATCTCTATCTGTGGTGAGTTCCACAACATTCCACTTATTGGAACCTGAGGCTGTATCAATGCCAATCTGATTCTCTCAATTAGACAGCTTGGGTATCCGATGGTGGGTCCTCCTGAAGAGAAAGACTTGGAAGCTTTCCTGATACATGACTTGAGGACTGAAAATCCCATTTTGTTCAAGGAGACCAAGAAAGCCTGTGGGAGTATCAAGGAAAAGAGAAAGGTCGAATTGGAAAGAAGAAATAGCATCACAAAAGATCCCTACTTCCAATGGGTTAAGGATATGGTGAAGGTAATCAAAATGCCTTTCGAGATCAAGACATTTGTTCCCCTTTGTCATACCTCAAATTTGTCCTACCTTTTTTCAAAATTCTCATTTGCCCGACTTTGTTTTTAATTTACCCCGCTTATACAGCGTAGCGTATTTTTCAGCAAAAACAGGCATTTTCGCTTTTTTAGCCCAATAAGGGTATGCCACGTGGCATTTGTTTTTTTATATATATACCTTTTTTTTTATATAATTTCATTTTTCTCGTGATAGATTAGTATAATGTTTTTTTTTATTTTTTAATTAGTTTTGAAGTAGAAATTAGGATTTAAATTTGTTTTTTTTTATTAAATAGATTTAATTTAGAGCTTAATTATAATTTAGAAATTTAAAAAAATATAGATAAAAAAATAGAGTTAGACTTTAATTAGGATTTATTTTAAAAAACTTTATTAGAGTTTAATTAATTAGTTTAGATTTAAATTATAATTAATAGTTAGAATTAATTAAATAGGAAATAAGTTTTTAATTTAGTTTATTATTCAGAAAAATAAATTAAAAGAAAATATTAAAAAAAGAGAGAAAAAATTTTGAGAAGACACGGTGGATTAGGGTTGGATTTGGGGTTATATAAGGGACACTGTTCACCATACCCTAGGGAATAAGGGACACTGTTCAAAAAACCCTAAAGAATAACGGTCGCCCCTAATTCTGAAGGGCAACCCTAAAAGAAAACCATCCCCAATTCATCCCCAAAACCCCAAATCGAACACTGTTCATCATCCCTCTCCCAAATCGGCGCCGCTCATCCCCTTGTCCTCGCTCCAGAAACCTCACACAACTCCGCAAACTAAGTCTCCATTCCAACAACCTCATCTCCTCAATACATTCCTCTCTTTCTCAATGTCTCTTCCTCCGCGCCATTTATCTTCACAACAACTCTCTCTCCGGTAACATCCCTCCCTCGCTCTCTACCTCACGCGAAACCCCCTCCTTTTTTTCCTCTTCTCCTTCCTCAAGATCCGGCCACCACCGTTCAACTCTCCGTCTTCATCATTATCACGAAAACCCTTCTTTTTCCTCTCTCCACCGCCACTCCCTTCTTCCCACTTGCTCCAAACAAAAAAAAACTATTTTTTGCTTTCTGAGATACCCTTTGATTATTTCCTCAATTTCCCATTCAAGAATCTCAGTTATCTCAATTACTAGCATGGTTTCATTGGGAGGTGTATATAGTGTTGCTTATGTGTTCTTGTTTGGTCTGACTTTGGTTTTGGCTGGTGATATAGTTCATCATGATGATGTTGCTCCAACAAGGCCTGGCTGTGAGAACAACTTTGTTCTGGTCAAAGTTCCAACTTGGATCGATGGTGTGGAAAACGATGAGTATGTTGGTGTCGGTGCAAGATTTGGTCCTACATTAGAATCAAAAGAAAAATATGCCACTCATACTAGAGTTGTCATGGCTGATCCTCCCGATTGTTGTAGCAAGCCTAAGAATAAGCTCACCAGTGAGATCATATTGGTGCACCGAGGAAAATGTAGCTTCACAACCAAGGCAAATATAGCTGATGAAGCCGGTGCTTCGGCCATTCTCATTATAAACAATCGTACAGAACTTTTCAAGATGGTTTGTGAGGTAAATGAAACTGATGTTGATATTGGAATTCCTGCTGTTATGCTTCCACAAGATGCTGGATTAAACTTGGAAAAACACATACAGAATAAATCCATAGTTGCCATACAGTTATACTCTCCACTGCGTCCGTTGGTTGATGTTGCGGAAGTGTTTCTATGGCTCATGGTTGTCGGTACCATTTTATGTGCTTGTTATTGGTCTGCTTGGACGGCAAGAGAAGCTGTTATTGAGCAAGACAAGCTTTTAAAGGATGCCTCAGAAGAATATGTTGCAGAAAGTGTTGGTTCTCGTGGTTACGTGGAAATCAGTACTACAGCAACGATTTTATTCGCCGTGGTTGCTTCTTGTTTCTTGGTTATGTTGTACAAATTAATGTCATTCTGGTTTGTTGAAGTTCTAGTGGTTTTATTTTGCATTGGTGGGATAGAGGGTCTGCAAACTTGTTTGGTGGCTCTATTGTCATGTTTCAGATGGTTTCAACATCCTGCACAAACATATGTGAAGATACCGTTCTTTGGAGCTGTTCCATATCTGACACTTGCTATTACTCCCTTCTGCATAGTGTTTGCGGTTGTTTGGGCAGTTAAACGCCATGCGTCATATGCGTGGATTGGTCAAGATATTCTTGGCATCAGTTGTGAGTTTAAGGCTTATCATGGTCTTGCCCACTCCATAAACAACAAGGAGCAGAAGGAGTCACCGGGATTTAGATTTGTCAAGGAGTGTTTTGCAGGCAATGAGACGCATGGAAGCCTCACTATCTATTGTCAGCCGTGCTTCCTCAGACTGCTCTATGGTTTCTAAGCTTCAAGCAATGAAGCGCAAAACTGAAGAGCAAGTTCGTTTTCAGAGAAGCCAAGCAACATATCATGTACATCTAGCTACATCTTCCCTACCCTAAATAAGATTGTGATCTTTGATCATGATGTGTTGGTTCAACAAGATCTCAGTGGATTATGGAATGCCGATATGAAGGGAAATGTTAATGGAGCCGTTGGAACTTGTCAGGAAGGAAAAACCCCATTTCATAGGATTGATGCGTTCGTAAACTTCTCAGATCCACAAATCGGAGAGAGTTTTGATGCCAATTCTTGCACATGGGCGTTTGGGATGAATTTGTTTGATTTGGAACAATGGAGGATGCATCCGGTGACACCGATTTCCTTCTTTGAACACATTGTTAGAAGGCTTGGTTTGAAGAGCCGTTTGCACTAGGAGTTTATGTGGCGTTGTGAGAGGGTTCTTCTTCATGTTATTGCTGATTCAAAGGTTATTGTTGCGGTGAAATTTGGATGTCAAGCTATTGATTAACTTGAATCTTAATTCATTTACAACCGGTCTTTGATTTATCCGAAGGAAAGGTTAAAGAAAGGAAAAACCTAAAAGGGAGAGATCTAAGGTTCGGGGGTTGGTTAAATTTAGGGAAGGTATTAGCACCCTAAACTTCCGTAGTACTCTACGGGAACCTTTTGTTTATTTTTTTATTTATTTCATTAATTATTTTGCTTTAGGGTATATACAAAGGATTGAAAATTAAAAGACCTAGGGGTTAATTCTAAGTTTACTCGGCAAGACATCGCATCTTGTGCCTACATATCCTTACGGGAATGGAATCAGAGTAACTGTAGTTCCCCTCAAAAGGGAGGTTAGAAATGTCTTGACTGTGGCCAAGGTTTCAATGGGGAATAAACGTATCTTAGGGACACGCTTACGCGGAGTGTAGAAACTCCAATATCTACGTTGTAAATTGTTAAGTTGTAATTAGGGTTAAATTAGGGATTCCACGGCGGGAAACCCTAAAATGAGCGCGGCGGCTCTTTGACCTAATGCTAGGGGTAACATGGTAATTTTGCCTGCGGCGAGGCATTTGTGAAAATTAGGGTTTGTAGTTTGTAGTTTTGAGGGTTTGAAATTGAATGTGTGAAATTTGAGGGTTTGAGGACTATTGGCATGGCGGCCAAACGGCTAGACCTAATCCTTCGGAGGTGTAATGTGACATAAGTAATAGTGATGAAAGTGTGAGAAATTTAAATCATACAAACGGAAATAAAATGCAGAAAGTAAACGCGATTGTTGGTTCGCGAGGTTACAAATGAGAAACGGATACAATTATATACAACTTGAATTGAAAAACACATTAAAATAACTAATAGCAACGTAACAAGCTGCACATTGAATACACAAGGTTAGTAGACAGAGTCAGACAGTAATCAGACGAGTTATGAAACGGAAGTGCGAAAGTTATAGATATTCTTTGTTGTTTATTTGTGATATATAAAAAAGCTTTTGATTTAAGTTAAAAAAGAGGTTTTAATATTATTAAAAAAAACTTTTCAAAAATAGTCTTAATTTAATTATCTAACAAAAAGGTTTTATTTTAAAAAAAAAGGTTTAATGTTATTATTATATATTTTTTTAAAAAAACGGTTCTAGTTATTATTTTAAAAAAAGATTTTAGTTATTATTTTAAATTTATCTAAAAAAAAGTTTTTCTTAAAAATAATAGGTTTTCATATTAATTTGGAAAAGATGTTAATGTTATTTATTTTAAAAAACAGATTTTTATATTATAACAAGTTTTAATAAATTAATGATAACAATAATAATAATAATAGTAATAATAATAATAATAATGATAATAATAATAAATAATGATAATAATAATACTAATAATAATAATAATAATAGTAATAAAGCAATAATGAATTTTAAATATGTCAAATAACCCAACAATGTTGCTAACGCAGAAATGCGCTCATCGCAACCAGATCTAAATCGGACGAAACAAAATTTATCGCAAAGAAAAAGAAATTAAGCAAAAAAACAGTATTATTGCTCACACAAAAATGCGATCATCGCAACCAGATCGAACTAACACAAATGTCACGCGTCATGCACACAAATGTGCAAACATCGTATCGATATAATTCGATCAAAAATTAATCTTATATATATATAAACTCTAACAATTTAAAAATTATAAATATATAAACGTAACAGTAATAGATAAAGAAAAAGAAATAACGGTAATAGATGAAGAAAAAAATAACGGTAAAAGATGAAGAAAAAGAAACAACAGTAATAGATGAAGGAAAAGAAATAACGGTAAACGATGAAGAAAAAGAAACAACGGTAAAGGATGAAGAAAAAGAAATAACGGTAAACGACACTCACTCCTCTTAGGTTTTTTCATTCTCTCCCTTTTTTCAACAAGGCAACACATGTATATATAGGGAACAAATTAGGGTTAACACCAAATTGTCGATAATGTCCCTAAAGCCCATTTTAAAGCCCAAACTAAATAATTAGTTAAGAAAAAATAAAATTTAAATAATTTAAAATAATTAAAATAAACTTAAAATAAAAACTAATAATCCTATTGATTCCTAAAATCAAAAATATTATAAAAAGAACAAAATTTTTCCTAATATTTTTTATTTTATGATTTTTTGGATATTTTTATGAATAATTTAGAAAAAAGTGAAAAAAAATAATATTTTAAAAAATAATTTAATTAAAATACGAAAATAATAATTAAATAATAATAAAAAACTATTTTTGTTATTTTTTAATGAGAGATAGAAACATTTAGAGTAAAAATAATAAAAAAACAAAAAGTGACAAAGGTGAGATTCGAACTCTCAACCTCTCACACTCACAACTCCTTACCCATGTCCTCTTGCCAATTGGGCCATTTTTACTTTTTAAAAAAAAAATACATGTCATATGATATTTACCTGCAAAAAGTCAAACGACTACACAAATTTGTTAGTAATTGATTAAATGCAATGAAATGCGACGACAAATCTTAGGGCAAAATTTGGGGTATTACAGTTGCCCCTATTTAAATAACTTCACCGGGTGATTCGAGCAACGGAGACTCGAGAAATCGTGGTGGAGGGATTTAAATACAGATAACCGAAAATTTTGCCTTTAGACGCAGTGCTATGCAATGATATGGACAAAACAAAACGAACTATAATGCTAAATATAATATGAATCTGATATGATGCGTATGAGGAAAATGACAAATGCACGGATACAGACGAAACAACGTCACAGGGGACGACCCACCGAGGAATTGCACTAGGGAAGAAGACATGTCATATCTGGAAGAACGTCGGGTAGACACGACACAGAATTGTTGATAGGTGCCAAGTAAATTAGAAATTGTCTGCGGGTAAAACACAAGCTCAGGAGAAAAACGCAAATGGGGATAAAACACCCATGATGCCAAGTAAATAAATTTTGCCCACAAGGTAAGACGCGAGTAAAACACGACCTCAGGGAGAAAAAAAAAGTAAATGGGGGTAAAACACCATGATGTTAGGTAAACCCAGGAATATCTGGTAAACGGGGAATAAAACACCCGGGATAAAGGTACATGGGGGATAAAACACCCAAGGATAGAAGGTAAATGAGGAGTAAAGCACCCAAGATAGAAATGTAAATGGGGAGTAAAGCACCCAGGATAGAAATGTAAATGGGGAGTAAAGCACCCAAGATAAAAATGTAAATGAGGAGTAAAACACCCAGGATAGAAATGTAAATAGGGAGTAAAACACCCAGGATAGAAATGTAAATGGGGAGTAAAGCACCCAAGATAAAAATGTAAATGGGGAGTAAAACACCCAGGATAGAAATGTAAATAGGGAGTAAAGCACCCAAGCTAGAAATGTAAATGGGGAGTAAAGCACCCAAGATAGAGAGGTAAATGGGGAATAAAGCACCCAAGATAGAAATGTAAATGGGGAGTAAAACACCCAAGCTGTGCACATGTATAGGAATTATGCTATGACATATGATCAAATGCAAATGCAGACGTCGACGACAAGGCTCGACTCTTTCTGTGAGATGACAAAACTGGAGGACTGATTCCTCAACACGGAGATCACTGTCATTCTGTTAAATTGTATCAAGTTGATAGTCACTGTAGGAATGATGAATAACTGCTTGGGGATTATGCAAGTAAGTCAAATGAATTGATAATTGCTTCAGCTGTTTGATTCGTGGAATCGACTGTTTTGCTGTATCCTCGGAGGGCTTGCCCCAGTCTGAGTCTTGAACAATTCTCTGGATAAACCAAATCTGAGAAGATATTGCCTTGAACAAATCTTGAACTGATTCTTTGACAGGATGTAAAAGGAACTTGCCCCTGATAAGATCACTTGACCAAGTTTCTCATTGTTTGAAAATTCCTTAGAGGAAAGCCAGTTTGCAAACAAAAATATTCATACAAACATGGTAATGCAAAGTTCATGCGATTTTTGAAAAATTATTTTGAAAGATGGAAAATACATGAGTCGTTAGTCAGAACAAGGCGGTTCAAGACACTCAAAGTTTAAAATAAAAGTGTATTGCCAAAATAAATGATTCGCAAGGATCTTTTGGAGTCAGGTTACGCAACCTTGTTGTAGTATACTTTCAAAATAACCCTGTTTCAGTTAGGTCTTTTGAGGGTTGTAACGTGGCCTGGTTCACGGTTTATGAAACAAAAGATAAAGGCTCAAAATTTATTTGTACCCACCCAATCTACGTGATGATCTTCAGTCCTATGCTCAGTTAACTCATACTATGCATTCAGGTTCCCATAAGTTAGGGATTTCATTGATCGTAGCAGTGATGATTCAGAAGTCAAAGGGACCTATGAAAAGGCAGCCACTACTCCCCTATAACATTTGATTGTTTTGACATTGAGGATTTTCAAGATAAGGATTTAAAAATCTCTTTGTATTATCCCTAAATTTTGCCTGAACTGTTTATTTTAGAGTTTACAGTCAGCGGGATGCCCCAGTTTTGCCTAA